CGGCACGAACTTTCCGGACAATCCAATAATATAAATAAAGATTATAATAAAGAGTAAAAGTATTAAAAATAAAAAATAAGAATTAAATATAAATATCAGAAAAATATTCAAAAATAAATATAAGAATATTACAAAAATTATTATACTTTTGAATATTATTTTAAAGACCAGATATGAACACACAAGAATTAAGACTAAGCAATCAAACTGGATCTTAATACTGAAAACAATTTCGTGTGAATTTATATATCACAATTCCAATGCTGTAAACGCGCCGAAATTATTTTCAGTCTTGAAACAGAACATCAGAACTGGAATAATGATTGATACAATGAAATTGACAAGTTTTTATATTTAATAATATTGATGCTCATTAGGTATCTCTATAATAATCTTTAAGCATCTTAAAATTTGTAAATAATTGTAATACGAAAAATATTATCCGGCCACGGATCGAGCCCGGGTGTCACATATTCCGTGCGAGTGTCCTATAGTCATTAGACCATCGAGGCCTTAGTAATATTCTTCACAATACATAATCGAAATGTGTATACAGAAAACACATTTTAAAGCTGCGTACAAAAATATTTTTGTTTTGGAAAACCATTTTAAAAAATGTCTATTTCCTATTTTAAATGAATATCTAAAAATCATTTTGTATTTTCAAATGGAAAGATTACAATTATTTTATATCTTCTATTTCAAATAAATTTAAACAGCCATTTTGCCCTCCCTCCCATCTCTGTCCACTTACAATTAATTTAAAATAATATATATCTAATAATAAAAAAATAGTACCTGATGAATACTAAGTTTAATACAATTTAATGTTTTTGTTGGATTCTCATATATCTCATCTTTAAAATTTGGCCACTCTTTCATAAATTCAGTATCATTGTACAATTCACATATATCGACATCGAAAGACATTCCTGCTTCAAAATTTGCCATTGTGCATTACGAAGATAATTCTTTGTGCCTTCCTATAAAGCCTTCCATTGCTTTAGTTTGCTTTGCAATAATACAGTCGGGTTTATATTCTGTTATAAAAGTAATTTATTAATACATACAATACATATATTAGAGCCCAGACACAATGAAAAACATAGGCAATAAAAACAGGAAATAATATACAGGCAATAGATTCGATCTATCAGAAATCATTAATGCATAGCAATTTTTGCAATCTATTGCCTGTATTATTTTCTGTGTTATTTCTAATGATTTTTATCTAAGCCCTTAAGCATGTGATGTGTGCAAAAACACACACACACACACACACACACACACGCGCGCGCGCGCGCGTGATATTTACCTTTATCAGAAAAAAACAATCTCCATCCATAATATGGAATACCTGCATTTCTGCCAATGTCTAAATTATCTGAATTATAATTTGTTTCACTTTGATCTAAAATAAAAATAAATAATTTATCCATTTTAAAGAAACAGTAAAATAGTATACACTTCTTATTCTTCACAAAACAATAACAGACTTCAAGGAATACATCAAATAAAGCCAAATGTGAATCGCCACAAGATCTTCATGTATTTAAAAATAAATATATTGAACGATGTATTCCAAAATTAATTATCAATATTGAAAAACTATAATGCATATAAAACGTAAACTACAGATTTTCAGTACTAGCAGTAAATTTTGGAACACAGTCTCAATTGTTCGTTTCATTACAAAGATAAATAGTCGTGTCCTCAACGACCTAGTTAGACTTATTTTACTGCGTAAGATTTTATGCAAATTAAAAATTTGGATTCATTTTCATGTTTTACATCTTTTTGATGCTAATTTTAATAAGTATATAAAAATTTAATTTTTAAAAAAGATTTTTCAGTGTTTCATCATTTTTTTATTGATAACATTGGTACAATTCAACATTTATGGAGAGATATAAAATATAGTCCAATTTAATCAATACAGTCAATTTTTTAAATTTTCTAATTAATTACATATTTTGAATTTAGATTATTTTCTTTATTTTTATTTTTCTTTATTTGTATTTTATTCTATCTAATTATGTTAAATTTTCAATGTATTTGATTCTTACTTTACCCTGTATTTATTGTTATTTAACAGTCACAATATTAATAGTCACAATTTTCTCCAAAATTATTAATAATAAGAAAATATTTTAGATAAAAGTGGAATGATTTCAAGAGGATATTTTTCATATTATTGTTCTTGTAAGTGGAGGTAACAAAAAAATGAAAATCACGATCACTTTTAAAAATGAAATTATATGATTTTTTACATAGTATGATTCTTCTAATTTTTCTACATATGAAAACACTAAGGTAGAGATATAAAAAAAACCATAGTTTATGAAACATTTTATACTTCATTGTGGTATTCATATAAAATGTTAAATATCATCGTAAACTATTAATTTTTTTATTACCGTACCTTGATACTTTTAGGAACAAATTAATGAGATGAATCAATTGATATAAAGAAAACACAGCTGCTTAAAAAAAATATGTAGACAAAAATGGAAACTTTTTTAAATGAGCAGCTGTTTTCTTTATATCAATCGATTCATGTCGTTATTTCATTCATAAAAATATTAAAATACAATAATAAAACAATTTAAAATTTACAAGATATTTAACATTTTATGTCAAAATAACATTTTATGCCAGAATAAAGTATAAAATATTTTTTATTGTTGGTTTTTCATATTTCTACCTTAATATTTTAATATGCAAAATAATTGAAGAAATCTATAAAGGAATAATTGTTACACTGAAGATGACCTAATCTTATGGTCAAAATGTTTGTAATTGATGATTGACATACATTATTTTTGACTGCACACGTACAACTCTGCCGGCTCTCAGTGGCTATACATTCCTTTATAGAAACCTTTTTAAATTTTAATTTTAATTGTAATTAGAGGAATCATACTATATAGATAAAAAAAATCATATAATTTCATTTTAAAAAGTAAAAGTGATCTTCATATCTTTTTGAGGTCTCCACCTAAAAGAAAAACATGACCAAAATACATTTCTTTCAAAATCATTCTACTTTTATCTAAAACATTTTTTCGTATCATTAATAATTTTAAAGCAAATTGACTGCATTTATTAAAATTGACTGTATTGATTAAAAATCTTGTACATATTATACGTCAGACATAATTCACGAAATACTCAAGATTAAAGAAGAAATTCCTTAAGATTAAAGAAGAAAGAGATGTTTATTTTGTCATTGATCAAATGATAGAAAAACTAAATATACTGTGCTCTATATGGCAAATCAATATCAAGAAACATCATACACATTATTCTAACATATTATATAAGCTATATTTTATATTTTTTTATTTTAGAATCTTTATAATTATTTTGGTTAAAATAAGAAGAATTTAATAAGTATGTTATAAATTGATTTTATTTCTTTCACAAAAAACTTGATCTCTTTTTCACTTATAAAATCTTCATATTTCCATATGTTCAAATAAATCAACTTCATGAAGCCCCAACAATATAATTATATTTTTGAAGTATATAATCCCTGAAGTATATAATCTAAAGAATTACAAGTAGAATAAAGATTTTTTTCATTCATTTACATAAAAATTATAAATTCTTAACCAATATCATGTTTTTTCAAAACTTATAAAATACTAAATTTATAAAAAATAAGTAAAATAGAATTTGTCTTCTATTATAGTAAAAATTTATTGTCTCAAAGTGTAAAAGAATTACAAATGTACAAAACTGTAAAGCAAAAAATCTACTATTGTCCCAAAATGCAGACTTTGAATCAAAAATTTCGTATTGTATGTAATGTTGTGCTCAATCCCGCAAAGATATTAATCATAAAAGGTTAATTTTACAATGAATCTATAAACGCTGCAAAGCATTTGTAGTGAGACTTGGACTACAGCCCAAAACTCAAGATTCCCGACTACCGACTTATTGTAAAATCAGGATAAAGTTAAGTATTGTTAGATTAGGAAATCTGCCACATCGATGGCGTAGAGGGTTAGAAGCTCCGCACAATAAAAGGAACAGAGAATAAGAATTTCATTGTATTACACTGTTTCTTTTATTGTGCCTCTTACACAAATTGTGTTTTATAAATACAAATTATCTGTTTTAAAAACTTAAATTCTCTACTATAAAACAAAAATTATATAAAAAATGTGTTTCTAAAATAGAAAATTTGTATTTTAAAGCTGAGAATGCGTCTTTAAAGCAAAGAATTTATGTAACTCTCTATGTCACCGATATGACAGATTTCCTAATCTAATAATTAACTTAAATAATTAAAAACAAAAACTTTAATGATTAATATCTCGCTTCGAGGAACTGAATATTTTAATATCAGATTCTTTCGTTTTATGCAAAAATATGTCGAATGAGCATAATTTTATTAAAATTAAAAATGAAGAGTGTCTTCTGGATAATTATCCATAAAAAATAAGAAATTAATGTAGAAAATTTCAATACTTACTTGGTTCAGTAGATTTTTCGATAATTTGCTTTTTTATCCGTCTCTTTTTTAAAAAATTTGATTTGTCACCCATAATAATCTATAATATATATAATAGTATGTAATTACTCAGGATACCCTTCTCATGCTTAGAACGTATATAAATAGAAGGAGAATAGAGCACTGAGCAAAAATCTATGCGAGAAAGAAAGGTAATAATGGACAAATATTGGTAAAGCGTATGTGTCTATTCTTCATTCCGCCCCGTAGTTAAATCCCTGCTTAAGATACCTTTACATGGCAGCGTCAAGCGTCAAGTGTCGAGCATGCGTGAACTTGCTATTCGTCAATTTTTATCATGTGATTTGTTTTTAGCGAATAGTAAGCTCATGATGCTTGACGCTTCACGCTTGACGCTCCTATATCATAATACCTTTAACTGCGTTCGGTAATGCAAATCTGATGGCTTCTGCATACTGAACGCGGAAACGCTTGCCGCGCAGCAAAATGTGATGCGGTAGCCATGAATAAGCTTACAGCTCCTAATGTGTTCATTAGTTATCGCGTCTCATTTTGCCACGCGGCAAGTGTTTCCACGTCCAGTGCAGGAGCCATGAGGCGTCGGAATGCTCTTATAGCATATGTCACGTACACTGTAGAAAAAGAGTATTCCAACGCCTCAAATTTGCATTGTCGAATGCAGATCTTCCCGATCCCACACACGGTACTTGAACAAGAAACGCTAGAACATTGAGAACATTTATCTTTTACTACCTTTTTCTCTCGCACAAATTTTTGCATCAGCGCAAGCATGGGCAAGTATAGGCAATGTCCCTTTTATTAATATGTATGTTCTAAGTTCTCATGCCTCCTCAGTTCTAATTTCAAGGAAATTATGCTCATTCGATTACTCTAACACGAAACAAAAATCTAGCAGAAAAAAGGAGAATTTATATTGGCTAGAGACAATGGGTGCATTCAGAACAACAACCAGAGTGACCTCTGTTTGGTCTATATTTTTAATTCTAACGGAATATGCCAATTAGATGCAAGAGCCCACTGAGCGCTCAGTGAGCGGATGTAGGAATCGAATCGAGTGTATAATAAGAATTGGATGTTTTCCAATTGCTTAACACATTCTAACACAAACATACACAAGAATGCACAAAATGTATCATCGTGCACGATTCAATTGGAACAGAACGCTGTGTACGCTGTGCATGATTAAAATCCGTTTTCCGGATACAGTTAGATTAAATGTAGCTTTTTCCCTATTAAATAAAAAAAGCAAACGTGTCGACCACTCAACGTCTTCCTCATTTATAGCCGCCGCAGTTAGTAACATGTAAAGCCGGCGGCACACGATGCATGTTTTCCTGCTGGATTGCTAACTGGATTAGAATCTTGCCACCATATTGGCTGCGGTGCTCAGTGCCAGTATTGTAGCCAACACGGTGGCAAGATTCTATCCGCGCACAAAGATGGTCGCAACTGTTTCTGACTGAGTCGTAAACATACATAAGTTGTTGTCGTAGGTCAACACACGTAAGATCTCAACTAACGCAATTACGTATACGTGATACACATAAACGACATACATAAAATCATTGTGCGTTGACCTACGACGACTTACGAGTCGTCGTCCGACTTACAATTGGAAACAGTTACGACCATCTTTGCACGGACCCTAATCTATTCCAACAGGAAAACAAGCATGGTGTGTCGTAGACTTAATTGTCACTAGAAAACACAAGCTTACATAGCCCTCGACTGAGTGTGCCTTCCAACAAGCGACACAGTGCGACGCAGTGATCATGTTATTTTTGTTTAACAACATTTTGGTAAACAACAAGGATGATCCATTATATCATACTGTGTCATTTGTGTCGCTTGTTGGAAGGTACATTGAATATAGATGTGTAGCGTTGTTTTGACGATAATGGACAATTGGAACGCAACTTGTGTGCACGAAAGTGTCTAGGGATATTGCAATTGGAAAACACCCCCCCATTGTTTGTTTTGTCTCTTGAAATTCTCGGGAGCTGTTTGGAGCTCGGAGTCGCTCCAAACGAACCCAGTGTACTTGAAATGGAGGATTTACATTATGTACGACATTCAATATGTTGTCATCATACGTTGTCCATTTGTTGAATTTACACTGAATCCGACGTGCGTCATATATATGACGTTTTGCAACCAATCAAAAAATAGAATTTTATTTTGTATCGATGATACATGAAGCAAAATCCTGTTTTCATCGTACAACACACGTCGAATCCAATATAAAGGCCATTCTACATTGGTATCGTATCAGGAGCGTAAGCATCATGCGACTAAGACTCGTTTTACAATCAGTCGTATGTCAATGTCGGCTATCGCTAGTCATTTGTCGCATATGAATACAACTCGCTATTCTACAATTGAGTCATTGATCGAAGTCGGAAGATCGAAACAAATGTAAAGAATATTAAAACGTTGAATATATATTCAAATTTATTATTAATTTGGACGCAAATAATGATTGCAGGACAATGTGACTCCACTTGCTTGACGACTACTATTGATTTAATTAATTTTATAATATTGAAAAGGATCAAAACGATGATCGAAACGTATATTATTCAAGTTATTAAACTTGAATAAATTTATATAAACAAATTCACCCAATGTCAGCTCTTATAGGCATTTCTTAAGTTTGATACAAAAGAATTAAATTATAAAATATTTTTATATTAAATAATAATAATTTAACAAATAAAAAATCTGGCATATTTATTTATATCATAACAATTTCTTAAATTTATGGATTTTTTGCCACAGAACTCTTTTTTGCTAACATTTTTAAAATTCACATCGCATTTATCATACAAGTAATGATTTTCGCGAATAAAATCAATAATTATTTCATCTACATTCAGTGATTCCATAATATAATATAAATATATTCATATATTCGTAAAAATATTTGTTTATCCATACATAAATGTGTCCGAAGGTTATGTTTCATCTAGTAGTCGGAAAAGATGGGAATTGACCCATCTTCTATTCCAACGATAGCCGATTTGCGATAACTTCATTAGACAGCCGACAATCCAGTGCGCATGCGTATGACGCCCGACTTCGACATATGGTTGTTAGAATGAGTCTTAAGGGAGCATTTATATTGGCCGTTACTGTATGCCTTATACCGTAATCTGTAAGAATTGACTAATCATAGTATCGAGAATTTTCCTCTCATTCGACTGTAAGAAGGGAATATTCAAAGTGATTGGTTAATTTTTATAAATTATTAATTTTTATAAATTAACATATGGCATACGGTTATGGCTAATATAAACTCTCTAAAATTAAAGCATCGGATTGGTAAAAGCAATAAGCTTGTGACTTGCGATGTCTACGATATGACCGATGTAGAATCTTAAATTCAACAATAGTAACGATGAATAATGTCGTACGTAATGTAAATCCTACATTTTAAGTACGCTGTTCGGAGCGACTCCGAACAGCTCCCGAGAGATAAAACGAACAATGCTAATAAATCTAATTGTTTAGAATCAAGATAAATTTTCACGAACTGCTCTAACCGACTGTTTCAACGACAAAAAGAATCACATGGTCAAAATTGAATGAATATAAATCAAGCGTTTACTTTAATCATATAATCTTTTTAAAACATCCGGTTTGAAACAGCTCATGAAATTTTACCTTCAACTGAATTCGATTCTTGGGCTATGTTCCAAAACTTCCTCTTCGAAAAAGATTTTATTTTTTATATAATATACGTTATGCGTACTATATATTTCGAGTAAAATATTTCTCAGAGAGGAACTTTTGGAATGTAGCCTTGAAGATGAAAAAGAATCGATTCTCGAGACATCGAATCAGAATCTGGCATCACGAATCTATACTTATATTACATCTATGGTCGTAGCAAATTCCGCCATCGTCGTCACTCACAGTCACTAATAATACTAGTATACGCCATTTTTCCTTTGTCGTTCGCTTACGCTTGTTTGGTCACTGATCGTTACAACTGTCAACGAAGATTCCACGTAATCTCACGCATCTTACTACAAGGACCGGAGACGTGACGTTCGAGAGGGAAGAATGAGTTACGGTAGGCCACCGCCCCGCATCGACGGGATGGTTTCCCTGAAAGTCGACAATCTCACGTATAGGACGACGCCGGAAGATCTGAGGCGCGTGTTCGAGCGATGCGGCGAGGTTGGCGACATTTATATTCCCCGGGATCGCTTCACGCGCGAAAGCCGCGGCTTTGCGTTTGTCAGGTGAGCCACGTTTCAATAATCGCGTCTTGCGATTGTGCACGCCCGCCATATGGACGGTACATTCAATTAACCGCTCTCTTGTGGGCAATGGTGTGTCTTGGATATATTGACGCCAACGGTGATGGTGACGTCACGATGCGAGCGCATTAGTTCGCAAATCGATGTTTCCGATTGGAACGCTATACTCCTATATGCTAAGATGACCAACCATCTCAAATTAGAAGTCTCTTTGGGTCTGTTTTCCGTGACTTAACTACACATTTTGGAACTTAAAGTGAGACAAGTATATGTTTTATATTTGACGAAAGTAGGAAAGAGAATTCTAGTACCAAGTATCTATCATAGAACACGGAATTTTGATCGGAATCATTCTGGTTTTCCTAGAAAACAATAGAAATCTAGAGAATAATTCCGATCGGAATTCATTCAGACTTATTTCATGATAAGAAACAAGTTTGTTAAACGAGAAGGATAACACTTAGGGAGAGATGTACTTCCGAAAATGTGAACTCTCCGATTTTCTTCTCGATTGATATACTACTATATTTTGATGCCATAATTACGAATACTGAATTGATTACAAATATGATCGTGAAAATTACCGGGATCATTTTCATGATCAAAATATTTAAAAAACTTTTTTTCACATTTTTTTCATAGAAAATCGTGTGCCCTTCGCAGTGGGGAGGAGAGGGGGGGAGAGTCGCTTCGCATGGAAAGTCGAAATCCACGTGTAACAGTATAATTATGGAAGTCATGTGCTCCTTAGCAAAAGGAATGGGGGGGGGGCATGAACCAAAATACTAACAGCTCTACTTGCGATTACATAAAATGTAAAAGTTTATATTTAACCGTAAAAATGATCTTGTCGGCAATTTCCATGATTGTATTTGTAATTAGTACACAAAAGTACAGATAAAAATCAATTTTAATAAATATTAGTAAATATTTGTAATATAACTAATAAAATATTAGTAAATATTTGACCGTGAAAATGATCTTGTCAGTAATTTTCATGATCATATTAGAGCATCAAAATATAGTAATATATCAATCAACAAGAAAATCGGGGGGATCGCCTTTTCGGAAGTACTCCAATATTGAATTTTTTTTTATGTTCCCTCTTTTTTTTTGAGGAATTGGTCACCTTACATATGTATTTTTTTCCATAATACGATTTTTTTCGAACAATTTAATATAAAGTGACAACATATCTTTAATATCAAGATTATTAGAGCAATGTCACAAATCATTTTTGAAATTCACATACACATACACATGTTTTACATACATGATAAGTCCATTTTAATCAATTCAGTCAATTTTCTTTGAAATTATTAATGATACGAAGAAATGCTTTAGATGAAAGTAGAACGGTTTTGAGAGAAATGTATTCTGATCAAATTGTTTTTCTTCTAGGTGGAGGCGCGAAGAAAATATGAAAATCACTTCTATTTTTTTTTAATAGAATTATATGATTTTTTTATCAGGTATAAATGATTTCTCTAATTCTGCATATAAAAGTATTAAGATAGAGATATAAAAAAATCAATAGTTTACGAGAAATATTTTATACTTTATTCTGATACATTTTAATATAAAATGTTAAATATCTCGTAAACTTTCAACTTCTTTTATTATCATACTTTAATATGGTTATGAACAGAATAATGAGTTGAATTAATTGGTATAAAGAAAATACATAGTTGCTTATTTAAAAAAGTATTCATCTTGTTTACATATTTTTTTCTGAAGCAACTGTCTTTACACTAATTGAGTCATCTCATTTTTTTGTTTAAGTATTAAGGTAAAAAGTATTAAGGTACGATTATTAAAAAGTTATTAATTCACACGCACGCACGCACGCACACACGAGATATTTAACGAGATATTTTATGTCAGAATGAAGTATAAAATATCTCATAAATTATTGATTTTTTTTTTATATCTGTACCTTGTAACCTTGTGTGTTTTATACAACTGAATAACTAGAGGAATCATTACGTAAAAATTATAATTCCATTTAAAAAAGTGGAAGTGAATCTTCATAGCTTTTTGGTGCCCTATCTAGAAAAATAAATAAATAAATAAATAAATAGTAACAATCCAAAATGTGTCTCTCTCTAAATCATTCCATCTTCATGTGAAAGATTTTTTTGTTTATTATTAATAATTTTGGAAAGAAAATCGATTATATTGATTAAAATGGATTACTCTATACATATCTGTGTGATGTAAAATCGAAAAATTTCACCGCTCTTATCTTATTACTTTTATATAATTCGATTTGGAAATAAACGCGCTTTATTTACTATAACAGGGTTACTACAGATTTAAAAAAAAAACCAGAACAATCGGGGAAAAATCATGGAAATTTAAATGGGTCGTGGAAAATCTGGAAAAATCAGGGAACAATATAAAAGTCTAGAATTTTGAGCTTTGCATTTCTAAAAAAATGCTTTTATTCTAAACAATATTGTTACAATTTAAAAAACAATATATTTAACACTTATAATTAAATACTGATTTTCTTACAGCGAATTCGATTGGATGCACATTCAAGACATACACAAAATAAACAAAAATATGTTTATACATAAACATAGAAATCGATTAAAATACTCAATACATTTATTGTACTATTAGATGAAATATGTTTTATAATTTTAAATATTTGCATTTCATTTTTATACACAAATTAAATCAGTGTACAACGGCTTTAATGTGCACTAGTGCTTTCAATCGAATTTTATTCAGTATTACAAACTGTATACTAGACTATGCATCAGTCATTATGTTAAAAGAAATGTAATTATTACTTTTTTACATGTAGAAATTAGACATTTCTTACAATGTCAAATTAATTTTTTGTTTTAAGTTTTGTATTCTTTAATTTTTTCTCTTATGTTTCCAAAAAAAAAATAGAAAAAAAATTAATGTAAACTATTAATTCTGGTTCGGGCGATAATGACATGTTCTCGGATAACCCCTGAAGTAGAAGGACTAATATAGTTCGTTTGGAATCGTCATGTTCAAAAACACGGTTTCAAGAAAAACGCATTTAAAATTTTGAAATATTTTAATACAAATACTGTTCCTTTTGCCATTAGAAACGAAAAATTTTCACGCAAAGCGAGGTCCACTTCATCTCCCTTCTTGTCTAAGAGAAAGTCGGTGGGGGTGGACCTCATTTCGCGTAGAAAGTCTTATGCCTTTGGTAAAAAGAGTATAAGGTAATTTTTAATCCTTCATGATCACTGTGAGTCAAAATGACCCAAAATGAGCATATGATAAATCATCTCAAGAGAATTAGGCGAATATGCATTTGAAAATATTACAAATTTAAAAAGTTATTTTTTCAGTAATAAAACTCATTTTTCCGAAGTTAACATATTTGCGGTTTTTTTTTTTTTTTAGTGTTAAAATTACATTTTTCACTACGTTATTCTATTTTCTCAAAGACTAAAATTATATACTGTAATTTTTTTAAGTCAATGGAACTAATACTATTGATTTGATAACACTTCAAAAATGATCATTTTAATCATTGTGTAGCTTTTTTGAAATGTGATCATGAAAGGTTAAAATTGTGTATGATAAAAATAAGACATTTTTCAAAATTTATTTGTTAATAGCTTTACTGTTAATGAAGTAATCACCTTTTCAAGGATACTTGAGTACAACATCCCTCCTATATATGAAGTGTTATATACAGAAAATAAGGAAATTTTGAAAATGAATCTTATGTAAATATATCTCGAAAACTATATGAGATCACCAATTAATTCATAAGAAAAAATTGAATCAGTATTCTTACTTTTATAATGTTATAACATGTTAAGGTCAAGGTCATCGAAGAGGTTTCCCCTAAAAGAAATACCTTTGTTACAATGTTAAGAACTATTACTATCGCAAATCCTTCTCTCTTCATGATTCCACACAAAGCGAAGGAATCCACCTCATTTCCCTTTTACCTAGGGGCGTCCGACTTTCCACACCAAGCGAGGTCCACTCCATCCTCCTTTCTTACAGAGCAATCGATTTTCTAAGCAGGTAGAATATAGATATGGATCTCGCTTCGCGGGAAAATTTGAATATCTCTAGACTGAGGGAAGTAGGATGGAGTCATGAGGCTTCCTGGAGAGAAAAGGAAGAAAGATGAACTGGTGTAAAAGTTCAGCCAAAAAAAACAGGTCTATGGAGTCTCATTTTCGCTTTGTATGGAAAGTCATTACGCAAGGGGGAAGTCAGTGTGAAATAGTCAGATTTCTACATATATGTAATATACAAGATGGTTTAAAATAACCTTTTGTTCTTAAAGATATATATTCCTGGCCATATTCTGAAATGATTTTTCCTTTGTCAAAAATTTGTTCGAAGCTTCGTTTTTAAAATATAAAAAGAAGTAGTTAGCGTCGATAGCTAGATCACAAGTCCAGAACGGCAAGTAAGCAGGAGTGACACGCTCACCGGTACATGTGAGTGTTTACGCTCCTGTTAGACTCAACAGTCACACGACAGTATGCACGTCTACAATATACATTCGAATTTTCTCTCTTTCTCACATACGCGCGCGCGTGCGCGTATTTAAATATATTATAATATATATTAATATATTATTTAATATAGTTTTATCCTGAAATTGATATTTAAATAATCTGATATCTGTGGAAAGTTACGTTTGTAATGGAAATTCATTGCAATAAATTTTTATTTTGGATAGTAATCTGACGGAAAATTATTTATCCGTCTTTCTTCAGAAGCTGGAGAATTATTAAAATTATCGAATCTCTACAATATGTTTAATAGTTTTATACTTATAATTTTATACTCTTACTCGAAATTAATTTTGGTTTATTCCATATTATTAATTGGTTTAGTGTCGAGAAAGAAGCATAGTCGCGTTTCTCATAGGAAACGTTTTACGTCTGTTTCTTAAAACGCGATTTGCAGATACTTATGTTGACTTCGCGTTATTATTTTGTCTGATTCTACATTTATATAAAAAACTCTTTAATACTTAACTTTTATTAGAATCGTACAAAGATGACAAATGCTTTGATATCATTTACAAGTTAAAGTTAGTAATAATTAATGTTGATAACTGAATAAGTGCGAGGAATTAGAAAGAGGGGGAGGGAGAGAGAAGAGAGGAGAGAATAATTCCAAATCTTATTCGTATGATGATAAAAATATTTATCTTGCTTAGAATATAAGTGAATCACGCAGTGCTACATGAGAAAAATGTATAGGTAGTATATGTTAAGAAAGGAAATGAAATATACTGAAAATATTGAAGCAGTAAGTCGAGTATTTTGAATATATTTCTTGGCAGATTTTATGATAAGCGCGATGCGGAAGACGCATTAGATGCCATGGACGGAAGACTGTTGGACGGTAGGGAACTCCGAGTTCAAATGGCACGGTACGGACGTCCGACATCTCCGCATCGTAGCCGTGGAAGTCGTCGTCGTGGAAGGTGAGTTTGTGTTGTTTTTATTTATTTAGAGCGTACAAATAGAATGAAAAAGAGGAAGGAGAGGAGGGAGGGAAGAAGGAGGAATGGAAAGAATAAATTATTTTTCAGTGCAAATATTTTGTTTATTAGAGAATTTTCGATTATTTGTTTACAGATCACGAAGTAGAAGTAGAGATCGCAGGCGTTCGCGATCTCGATCCCGTAGTAGGTCGCGTAGTCGTGACAGAGACCGCAGGCGCTCTTACAGCCGCAGCCGTAGTCGCTCTCGTTCGGACAGCAAGAGCTCACGTGGCAAATCACGCTCGCGTAGCAAATCTCAGGACAGGCAGAAAGACAGTCGTTCCAAATCCAGGTGAGAATTACCTCAGTTAATTTCGAGATAAGAAAATAAGTCTTTACGTTTTATTAAATCGTTGAAACATTTTTCTCTCATGATTGATCAATTGTTACATATGTTTCCAGGGACTGAACTAATTGAAGAGTGTGCGAGAGGATAAGAATGAATGCGCGCGTATCCAACGAGTGCTGAATAATCTATATTGAGATTGAGAAAAAAAGGTATTCCATTACCCTCTATAG